AAGGAAGGACAGGCAGGGAGGGAAAGGAAGGAAGGAGGGAGGGAAAGGAGGGAGGAAGGGAGGGAGGGAGGGAGGGAGGAAGGAAACATAACTTTGCTGCTCCCAAAAGAACAAATAACCAGAGACCATGTTGTTTCTCATCTACCATGCCCAATTCTGGGGACACGGTTTCAAGAAAAGACTCCAGAGAAATTGCCACGGGTTCAGCCCGGCCCAAGGAAGGCTAATTGGCAGGTAGATGAAAACCTCTAATGAAAGGTTGGACGATTTGACTGGGCGAGTTTTGGGTCTTCTGAAGATGACACAAAAGGGACACAATTGTCTCTCCCGACTCTTTCTTTCTCTGGAGAAACGGAGCAAAATGCCTGGCTTCCTTCGGCGTCTGCCTCCCAGCGCCCCCCCCCCCAAGAGACCCCACCCCCAAAGCCTCTTCGAAGCCCAGGACTCCTGTCAAAATCCAGAAGCATCTGGATCTTCTCACAGTCCGGTGGCCATTACGAAGGCTCCTCTTAGGGCGACCCTTGCAACTCACACAAGCTGGAATGCATATTTCCCAATTTTATGAGTTTCGTAAACTTTATGGGGTCTCTACAGCCAACCGGTGCCTCTCTCCTCCTCCCCCAGACCCAAAGCTTCAAATCCCCTCCCCAACTTTTTTTTCAGAGCCCTCCAAGAAGGGTTATCTTGAGGTTAAATCATCTTGCCAGACTGAAGAGGGTTCAAGACATTTTGAAACCCTTTTTAAACTTTTTGTCCACATAATAAAGACCGTCCCTGAAGATGGGTTCAGCCAGGGAAGCTGGAGAAAAAGGGGAGGGGGTGCCAGTCATTTCTGCCCATCACTGCAGACCATGAATACAAGACCTGAGATGAAGAGTAGAGAGGAGAGAGAAGAGAGAAAAGAGAAAAGAGGGGATTGAAGAGAGAGAAGAGAGAGAAGAGGAGAGAGGAGAGGAGAGGAGAGAAGAAAAGAGAAGGGAGAGGAGAGGAGAAGAGAAGAGAACGGAAGAGAAGAGGAAGAGAAGAGAGGAGAGAGAAGAGAGAGAAGAAAGAAGAGAAAAGAGGATTGAAGAGAGAGAAGAGGAGAGAAGAAGAGGAGAGAAGGGAAGGGAAGAGAAGAGAGAAGAGAGAAGAGAAGAGAATTCTTTATTGGCCAAGTGTGATTGGACACACAAGGAATTTGTCTTTGGTGCAAATGAGTGTACATAAAAGAAAAGATCACCAGGATTCAAAGGGATCGCCTTTGATCTATTCTAGATCTATCCGCAAGTCAAATCTAGAAGAGAGGTTGGAGTCTTCCAGACAAATGGAAGTCCATGAGCCAGCCGTGTGCAGCAGCAGCCAAACAAGCCAATGCAATCCTAAATTGCATTAATAGAGGGATACAATCAAGATCAAGGTAGATACTAATACAATTCTATAAAGCCTTAGTAAGGCCACACATAGAGCATCCAATTTTGGTCACCACACTATAAAAAAGATGTTGAGACTCTAGAAAGAGTGCAGAGAAGAGCAACCAGGATGATTAGGGGACTGGAGGTTCAAACATACGAAGAACGGTTGCAGGAACTGGGCCTGGCTAGTCTAGGGAAGAGAAGGACCAGGGGAGACAGGATAGCAGTTTTCCAATATTTGAGGGGCTGCCACAGAGAGGAGGAAGGGGTCAAGCTATTCTCCAAAGCACCCAAAGGCCAGACAAGGAATAATGGATAGAAACTGAACAAGGAGATTTAACCTGGAAATAAGGAGAAACTTTCTGACGGGGAGAACAATCAACCAATGGAACAGAAGTTGCCCTCGGAAGTTGTGGGAGCTTCATCCCTGGAGGCTTCCAAGAAGAGACTGAACTGCTCTCTGTCAGAAATGGTGTAGGGTCTCCTG